AGTTGACCACGTTTCAGTCCTTCCTGCAGGAGCCACGGTGGAGGGGGCAGATCCTCCCTTGCCGCTCGGGGCAGGGACGTGCTGCTGGCTGCACTGACCTTGTGTCCTACGTGGCATGCCTTGCAGCTGCTGGGGGGTCATCACCCCTCGTGCCACCAGAGCAGGGTGCCTTGAACTGCAGCAGCGTGTAATCCCGGCGGTAGGTTTCGTCATGCCTGGTGGCAGTGGGACACGGACCTGCCGAGGGAGGGCTGGCTCTGCCCCAGGGCTCCTTTAGACACCGGCCTGGTCCTGCAGCTTGGGCCAGGTTTGGGTGGTGCGGTGGGACTGGCTGACTGTCAGTCAAAAGGGGCTGTTTCTTCCGTGGTCTGGATGGGAGCAGGATCAGTACAAGCTGTTTCCATCCCCAACAAGGCAGTAAGGCCAGAGGGTGACAGTGGCCGCTTTAATTTTTGCCTGCCCTTTGATTTTGCCTGTCCAGAGCCTCTGACACGAAAGACAGGCACGAGATCTGTGTCTCCCAGTGCCGCTCTGCCTCCCGCCTACACGAGCCCTGCAGCCAGCCGGCTCCCAGTATCTCCAGCTCGCTGGTGGGGGGCCGCTCGTGGCTCGGGGCTGTTGTCTGAGGCTAGCAAACCCTTCAGCAGCACACAGGGGCCTCCTGGCCTTGAGCTGCTGAGGTGAGGGTCTGCCCTGGGAACCTTAGTGACTGCCAGGACCCCGTGTCCCCTGCCGTGGAGCTACCCCCAGGGTGGGTATCCCGTGGAGTCCTCGTGTGGGAACTGCGCCGCTTTGTCCCTCTGGCAGGGGATGCTTTGCCAAGTCGCGGGCTGCCACTTGGATCCTTGCCCTGGCCCTTTACATCCAGCGGGATGCCGGCCTGCCGTGTGCTCTGCCCTCCAGCTTGGACTTTGTGAGTCTGGTGTGGGGCCAAGTGTCACCTGTACGGTTGATGGCATTCCAGCCAGAACAGGGGACTGAGGGAGATGGAGGATTCCGCTGGCTCCTGGTCCTTCCCTGGGAGAGAAAGCAGATGGCAAGACAGAAGATAGCTGTGTAGATGCCTGTGGAAAGTGGCTCCTGGGAAGAAAGCGGGTTCCTCTGTGTGCTGGTGCTCCAGGTGCTGATCCGGCAGCAAATCCCTCACCCCTTCCAGAAGGGGTGGCTGCGGGCAGCTCGTCTCTCCTGGCACAGTCGGGTGACTTCCTTCCCATGTCCACAGCAATCTTGGCGGCAACACCATCAATGAGGTAGCTCTGGACTTCTGGCGAGCTGGCCGGGCACGGGAGGAGATCTCCATGGAGTACCTGGAGCAGCGGCTGCGACTGGAGCTGCTGGAGCCTGCAGGTAAGAGCTGGACTGGCTTGCCCCCTCTGCCCTGAAAATGGCCAGGCTGCCAAGGCAACCCCCTTCACCGGGGATTCCGGCTTCTCTTGGCCCGACGGTCAAGCTGTGGCGACACTCCATGTCCAGACTAAGTGCTGGCCGGCTCTGTAGGGCATCTCTCCCACCATGCATGTCTGGATGAGCCAAGACAGCCCCCTCAGAAAGACAGCTTCTGCCTCACAGAGGGATGCCAGCACTGCGATGAAGCTCCTGAGGTTAGTTTGGTCTTGCCTTTTGTTGCAGAGCACGGTTACGCGCACAGCCGCCTCCTCCAAGAGAACCTCATAGATTTCTTCGTGCCCTTCCTGCCCCTGGAGTACCACCACGTGAAGCTCTGCGTGCGGGATGCTTTCCTGGCCCGTGGACTCCCATACACCGAGGCAGCCCTCGATGAGGTGGCCAGGATGATGGTGTTTGTCCCCAAAGAGGAGAAGCTTTTCTCCGCACAGGGCTGTAAATCTGTATCCCAGCGCATCAATTACTTCCTTCCTTGAACAGCGGGTGGGACTAGGCCAGCAGCGAATCTGCACCCTAGGAGTCGCTCTCTTCTGCAGAAGGTCGGGTGAGCAGATTTACCCAGCCACGACCTTGCACAGGGGCAGCGGCTTTAACCCCTTGTGGCTTTGGGGCTGTTTGCAGGGAAGGGGACGCACCCTGCCCAGCCTTGCTCCGGGGACATGGGGACAGCCTGTGCTTGGCTGCGTTTGAAGCCTGTCGGGTGTTTTTTTAAGTCCCTTCTTTAAGCAGGTAGTAGCCTGAAGTAGCAATATGGTTGTGCTGACGGGCACTTTGGGGGGAGTGGGGATGTCCAAGCCCTCAGGTGCCAGCATGTAACGAAGGCCTTGGGCTGACCAGTCCTGCTAAGAGAGTCCGGCAGAAGCCATGTCCTCATCCCTGTCCCCGGGCTCACGTTACGTGCTCTCAATTTGCACAGAACTGTTTAGCTTTTAGTTAAACAGGAAGAACTGCTTTTCTGCTCTGTTACTGTCCTGCACTCACAAGGCACCTGCTGCTTGGGGACATGCGCACCAGGATCACGGTTTGTGCAGGGGAGGCCCTTGCGTAGAGAAAACTGAATAATCTCCTCTGGAGATGTCAGAGCCGTAGCCGAGATCTCGCTGTGGGGTGTCCCTCACGGGAGCTTTTCGCTGTGGGGTGTCCCTCGTTGGAGCCTTTCGTTGTATGGAAGCAGCTGTAGGGACAAGGCGACCTGCTGAAATGCGAAGCAGTTTGGTGAAAAGCCTCTTGGCTTCATTGCAAAATGAAAAAGGGGAGGCTAAACCCCTTCCTAGGGCAAAGGGCAGTTGAGGATGGTGGCTGAAGGAGCAGACTGGATGGAATTTGGCTTTTCAGGGATGCAGTAAGCTCCGTGTGTGTGTGTGTGTTTCTTCTTTTTTTTCAGTACGTTGCACGCTGTGGTTTTTTGGCTGGTATCAGCTTTACTATGCTACGGGGCTGTTTGCTGTCTGGGTGCTTGCCAGGCGATAAGTATGTTACAGCAGGACCAACAGAATTTCAACAGCGTTACGGGAATGGCTTTGTGACCTCTAGGTCAAAACTCCCTTCCAACACCGCTGGGATGGGGTGACGAGGTGAAACAGCACGTGCCAAGGACAGGGCTTAGCTCCCCGGCCACCCCACGTGTGGACCTTGGATCTATTTTAAGCTCTGAACCACCCTGGGGTGCCAGCGATGAGCAGCACCAACCTCTGGGAAAAGACTGACCAGGCGCACCGACGAGTCCTGCAGACTCGGAGTTCCTGTTTCCCTCTGGGCACACTGGCTGTTATCTAACGAGGCTTCACAGTCCAAGGCAGGAAGATGAGCCAGCCGCTTTCTCACTGCTCAACTGATGCAAAGTTAGTTTAAACCTGCTTGTGGGTCTAGACTGGACTCTGAGGCCTGTGCCTAGCGCATGCCGTTGTCAGCCTACAGCTTCCGCCTGGGAAAGAGCCGAGGGAAACGCGCCTGGGGAAGGGAGGATGCAGCTGCACAGAAGGACGTGACACGGGTTGTGCTTTACCACCTGGGCAGAAACGTCAGCAAGCTGTGAGTTAGTTCGAGGTTAGTTGCTTGGAAGGTTGTTACGGCCAGGATAACCCGTGATTTGGTTTAAAACGGGAAGGAATCTTCAGCTGTCCAGGTCAGACGGATGCTGGAGGGGGTCAGTGTCAGTTGTTTCTCCTGCGCGGGGCTGGTGGGAGGTTGGCACGTGAAGCCATCCGTGCGCTGCTGCGGATGAAGGAGGCGACGGTGTTAGCGATGAGGGCAACGCTCAACCCGGCGGTGGTTTGCCGGGTGACACTGCTGTGCGGGTGGGAATTAAGTCAGC